ATTTCTTATTAACATTATAAATTTAAATTTTCAATTTATTGTTTAGGATCTCAAGATCTCTTTTTATCTCAAGAAAAAAGACAAAAATTTGTATCTTCGAAATATCTGCTAAAAATCTAAAGTTACTACTAAATACAAGCAAAAAATAATTATTGGCTGTTAAACTCAAGAATTGTACTTACTTTTTGCAATATTACAAGTTAGTTTAATGAGTTATTTTGTCATAAAGGAATTAGTGCTTTGGTATTTCTTTGAGTATAAAATATTCTTGCAAAAAAAAAATCTTCTTGCAAAATTCACTCTTTGTACCAACTTTTTCCATATTCCATGTTCACCTGTATTTATTATAAATTTTACAAGCTGTATGTGTTCCCTGTTATACAAAAATAAAGCTGTCCTAGGGAGTATTTTATAAGTTAAAAAGGCATACAGAAAAACAATTGTCATTTATTTATATGGGAAAAATATTTGAGCATTCACAGATTAAAAATTTTATCTACCAAATAATATATAATACATGACAAGATTAATTATTTCATATATATCTTTGGCTTATGCAAATAAAGAATATTTTAAAAATAAAGTGTTTACAAATATTTAGAGTTAAAAATTTTGCTTTAGATTGTATTTTTAATCTATTTTTATTTAAAAATACAGTATGTTTTATTTCAAACTTCTATTTTCAGTCATCATTCTCTACTTTTTTTTCTTTTTTTTTAATTTTTTTTATTTTTTTATCATTCTTTACTTTAATCCATGCGAAGTTGATGATGAACAACCACACATCAGTGAAAGAGTTCATTCTTCTTGGATTGACAGATGATGTTCAGCTTCAACCTGTGCTTTTCCTTTTCCTGCTACTAACTTATGTCTTAAGCATTATGGGGAATTTGACCATCATTGTTCTAACTCTGCTAGATCATAGACTCCAGAGCCCTATGTATTTTTTCCTCAGAAATTTTTCCTTTTTGGAAATTTCCTTTACCTCTGTGTTTGTTCCCAAAATGTTAGTCAATATTGGAACTGGAGACAAGACTATTTCCTTTGTTGGTTGCTTCACTCAGTATTTTTTTTCTATCTTTCTGGGAGCCACTGAATTTTACCTCCTAGCTTCCATGTCCTATGATCGCTATGTTGCCATCTGCAAACCTTTGCATTACACATCGATAATGAGCAGGAGATTGTGCCTTCAACTTGTCCTTTGTTCCTGGTTCTTTGGGTTTTTAGTTGTCATTGTGCCACATATAATGACTCTCCAGCTGTCCTTCTGGGCATCCAATATTATCAATCATTATTGCTGTGACTACACTATATTGTTGCGTTTGTCCTGCTCAGACACACATTTCATAGAAGTGATTGAGTTTATCCTTGCTGGGATGACACTTATATTCACATTAGTGTTAGTTTGTCTATCTTACACATATATTATCAGGACGGTTCTTAGAATCCCTTCTGTTCAGCAAAGAAATAAAGCGTTTTCTACTTGTTCTTCTCACATGATTGTGCTGTCACTTTCTTATGGGAGCTGTATCTTTATGTTTTTGAATCCTTCCGTTGAGGATGCAGCCAATTTTAATAAGGGTGTAGCTTTGCTGAATACTTCAGTTGCCCCTCTGTTGAACCCATTCATCTATACCCTAAGGAACCAGCAAGTGAAAATTGCTTTTGAAGATATGATTGGTAAGATGAAAAGTGGTATTTTCCATGAAAGTGGAACTACTTGATATCCATTAAAACAGATAATAAAGAAATGTATTACAGATTATTGGTATAGTTTTCAGTAATTAAATGCTTTATTTGCTACTTCTTTAATGTTCTTAATTCAACAGTGTAATTATTGGTTTGACTTGATTTTTATGATATTTACAATTTTTAAAAATTGTTTTAAGTATTTGTGTGTGTCTTTTAACATTTAGTTTTTTCTGTATTTATATATTGCTTAAAAAATTAAAGTCTGAGAAAAGACAATTGATGATTTGACTTATTAAAGTTTTCTTTAAAACTTAATTTTTACTCCCATGTTTGTCATTATGATTGTCAGTCTAACTCAATGATTAAAATATTATCTTGAAGAATTTCCACCTTTTAATAGTAGCTTATTTAATATGTTAATAGTGGATATAAAATTAATAGTGATAATTAAAGTAGATAATTTTCAGATCCTAAAATCAGCATTTAACTTTATAATCTTCTTAGATTAAATATTCATTGAAAATTTAGCTATAATCAAATGTTTGATGGGACTCTACAGGCCTAGTGTGTAGGGAGTTGTGTTGACAATAAAAAGGCAGCTGGTTTGAATCCACCAAGTACTCTAAGGGAGATAGACTGGCCATTTCCTCCTTGTTATTTATAGTTTCTGAAAACTTGCTAGAAGTTCATGTACAAATACGTTCTGAACCAATAGCAAGTACGTTGATTGACTTGAGGTGAAAAATTCATAAAGAACTGAAAAATTGCTGTGGGCTTGCTTTGGTATTGATGGAAAAATGTTAGGTGATAATTTTGCATATGAATTGAAAATTTTTTATTTTTTTTACTGGTATGCATACTATCATTCATATACCTTGTGTTTTACTCATAGGCATTGCATTTTATACAAACATTAATGTACACTGTGCTTTATATAATTGATTACTATTGCCTGGTGATTAATATAGTAATAGTATTAAAATTATTTATATAAATGTTCTATTATCTCATTATATAACAAATTACTATGCCTTATATCACCACATTTCTTCAACTGTCCATTATATTTTTCCTTTTCTTTCATCCTCCCCAATCTGCTCACTAACCTCTGCTTTCTTAGTTATTTCCCTATTCCTTTCTTTTTAGTTTTCTCCCATTTTTTTTACCACCTTCTCTCTTTCACTTCCCCTTAAAACATTTATATATGTCTTCACTCAGTTATCCCTCTCTTTTAACAAAAGTGGAATTATACAGGGTTTGTCCTTTTGTGATTATTTCACTCAACATAACACTTTCTGGATTTTCCCACGCTGTTTTGTGTTTTATGTATATTTTGTTGTTCTTTTGTGCTGCATACTATCTCATTGTACAATTATACCGCAGTTCCTCTATTTGTTTATTGATAGACATTTGAGTTGTATCAATTTTTCTTCTTTTGTGAATAATAGTTACAAATGTAGGTGTATCTCTGTTCACGTCTCAGCTCTGATTTCTTTGGAGTATATTCCTACCACTGGAATAGGTGATTCATGTGGAATTTCTTTCTGAGGAAATGTCATACTTCCTTTCACAATGATTGCACCTTTTTAACATCCTACCAGCAACACATGTGAATCTCAGTCCCTCTCTATCCTTTTCACATTTGTTTTCTGTCCTGTAGAACTTTGCTATTACTGCTAATGTGAGATGCTGTCTGTTTGATTTGCATCGCTCTGATTGACACTGATTTTGTATGTTTCCTTGTGTGTTGGCTGGCAATCTGAATGTTCTCCTTTGTAAAGAGTATTTTCATTTCTTTAATCCCTTTCGTAATTGGGTTTCCAGTCTTTTGAAGGAAACTCTGTTGTACTCTATAAACTTCAGTTATAAGACTCTTGTCTAAAACATCATTGCCAAGTATTTGGGATCCATGCCACCCCCACCCCCCAGTATTTGGGCGTTGTTTCAATCTGTTGCGAAAAGTTTTTGATGCACACAGGGATTTAATATTTTAGATCACATTTGTTAATTGTATTTGTTAATTATTGGTTGTGCATTTTTTGCTACTTTTTAATGCAAAATTTGGCTATTTAGACTATAAACCTAAAATTCTAAATTTGTTTTGATTATATGTCTAATGATCTTTAATGATTAATTTAACCCTTCCGTCTCTGACCCACTTTGAGTTGGTTTTTGTGTAAAATGTGACATGCATGTTCTGTTTTAGTTTTCTGCTGGTAGATGCCCATTTTTATCAGAACAGTTTGTTAAAGAGGCTGCTGTTTCCCTATTTATTAAGATCTATTTATTTTATTATTTATTTATTTAATAAGATTTATTTCTTTATTAACACAGTTGTGATATGGATTATTCTGTCTTTTTAAATTTTTTTAGAATACCTGGACAAGTTTCATAGCATGAATAATTTTAAAATTGAAAGAGACTTGCTATTTTCTGCTACACCAACCTTGTACTAAAGAATATATCAAGAACATAGAGATGTTAATAAGCTTTTCTAAAGCCATGTAGTTAATTAGGAGCAGATTTGAACACATGAATTCTTTATCTGTCAACTAATGATGCAGACTAATTGTTGTTGTTGTTCGTTGTTGTTATGTGCTGTCAAGTCACCTGTGACTCTTAGCGACCCTATGTACAACAGCCTTAAACCCTGCTCCATCCCTTACCAATCTTATTGTCTCTGAGACACCAATCTCCATTACCCCAGTGACTGAATCAATCCATCTCATAGAGGGTCTTCCTCTCTTGTACTGTCCCCTCCACCATCCCCAGCATGATGTCCCTCTCCAATGACTGATCCCTCCTTGCAACATGTCTAAAGTATATCAGACAAAGCTTCTGAATCCTTGCCTCCAAGCAGCAGCCTGTCTTCATCCTCTCGAAGACAAACTTGTTTGTTCTCCTAGCAGTTCATGGTATTTTCAATACCCTTCTCCAGCACCACAGCTCAGAGACATCAATTCTCCCTCTATCCTCCCTAGTCATTGTCCAGCTCTCTGAGGCATAACAAGTGATTGCAAAGACCATGGCCTGTATCAGGTGCACCTTAGTCTCTAGAATGACATCGTTGGTCTTCAGTACTTTGGAGAGGTCTCTGACAGCAGACTTTTCCAGTACAATTCATCTTTTAATTTCCTAGCTGCTGGTATGAAGAGTGTTGATTGTACAGCCAAGCAAAGTAAAGCTATCAACAATCTCAGTCTCTTCATCATCTATCTAAATGGTGCCAATTAGCCCAGTGGTGAGAATCTTTGGTTTGTTTGTTTTTTTAAATTTTATTTTGAGCTTCAATCCATATTGAAGGCTGCAGTCCTTGACATTCTGTAGAATGTGCTTCAGGTCCTCCTCAGTTTCAGCAAGCAGGGTTGTGTCATTTGCTTAAAGTAGATTGCTGATGAATCTTCCTCCAGTACTGATGCCACATTTATGTGCCCAGCCTCCTCGATAATCTGTTCTACATAGACATTGAAAAGCTATGGAAATAGGACACATTCTTGGTGTACACTCTTCCCAATTTTAAACCATGCAGTATTTCCTTGCTCTGTTCTGATGACTGCCTCCTAGTCCAAACAATAGGTTTCATATAAGCACAATCAAATATTCTGGGATTCCCATTCTTCTCAGAGTCAGCCACAGTTTGTTGTGATTTACACAGTCAAATGCCTTGTCATAGTCAATAAAGCACAGACAGACATCGCTTTATTACTCCTTGCTTTCAGCCAAGATCCCTATCCCTCTAACATTAGCTATAATATCCCTATTACCACAGACATACAATATTGGGTAAATCTTCTGTCAAGGACTTCTCCAAGGTGTTAAGGACATCTGCTGTCAGTTTACGACCAAAGTGCATCTGATTCAAGCCATGATCTTTTAAATTATTTGTTATTCCTGTGAAAGTTGAACAATGACTCAGGATGACAAAAAAATAATCTACGCCTTTTTAGTTGTAGTATTGGAGAAGAGTGCTACAGCCTATTCTAAATTTAGCCTGTACTTCAAGCAGTTCTCTGTTGATGTGTTGTTCCAGTCATTTTTGGATAATCTCCAGCAGAATCTTGCTTGAGTGTGATATCAATGATACTGTCAAGTAATTTCCACATTCTGTTGGATCACCTTTTTTTGGAATGGAACAAATACAGATCTCTTCCAGTCAGTTAGCCTACTCATAGGAGAGATATTATTAATGTCTGAGGAAAACCAGATGAGGAGTGATTACTAAAAATGTAACCTTTCTCAGTTCCTATTTACTCTGTCAAGGAGTCCTGATGATATCATGGATGAAGTGTTCAAAATTAATAGATTGGTTAATAACTTTAACTCAGTAGTTACTCCGTCAGACATAGATGTAGCAGGATATATCCATAAAGATTTTTCAGCCTTGGAAATTTTATGGAAAACTCAATTCTGTCTTATTGTGTCTTATAAGCTGGACTCAACTCACCATACTTACATTAAAAAGTGACCAAATCACTTAAAAATATAACTGATATTAATACATTACTTAGCTAGTTTATGAATTTATACATTAAACAGTCACATAATCAATGCATTATTTCACTCATTTATTGTTTTGAATGTTCTCATCTGTTTGCACAGTATGCATTCAAAAGACTGTCACTCTAATCAATTTCGTTTCAAAGGTAAAATGGATGCCATTCAGTTAGATATTTTATTGTAACGTATAATTTCTATAAATACACACACACACTTCAAACACAAAAAACACACCACAAAAAACACACGCAATATTTTAATAGGCCACTCACTACAGTCTGCTTAAAAATTCAGACATTAAAAAAAAAAAAATTCAGACATTAATCTAGAAGAAAAATGGAAAGTCAATTAACAACATGAAGAAGATACAGTTAGCATAGTATTCTATCATACTAAACTATTACTGTTGTCCATAGATCTGATCAAGTTAACACTAATTCATAAACCTCAGGTACAACATAGTAAAGTTGGTTGCTGTGGTCACTGTGTCATCACAACTAATTGAGAGTCTTCTTCCCATTTTCTGATCCTTTAG